CCCCCCCCCCCCCCCCCCCCCCACACACACACACACACACACACTTTTACTGTGAAACATTAGTTCAGTCGGTGCAGTTTCTTTCTTCGTGAACAAATCCATTCCACTTGATTAATAGGAGAATACTCAAGTGCCCTTCGATTCATTACTGATTCCAGTTATCGCACTCATCACTGTGAACTTTACGTCAAGGCTAGCTGGTCTTCTCTCAGCGCTCGCAGATACACTCATTGGATATCCTTCATCTATAAGACCCTTCTAAACCTAGTCCCGTCATACCTTACCTCCCTAATACAAACATCACACAATCATTACTCCCTGCGCTCTAATGACCTAATCCTCCTGTCAGTTCCTCTGGTCAGAACTGAACTAGGAAAAAGAGCATTCAGCTTCGCCGTCCCCTCAGCCTGGAACAACTTACAGACAGATTTGAAACTATCAACACTCATCTCGCCTAGATCCTTCATGTCAACCGTATCAGATAATGTTATCAAAAATATGGACCATTGCAGATGTTTCTAAAACACTACTTGTCAAATATACATGTCTTTGTTCACTTTTAACTCTGTATACTTAACCTGATGTCTGTTCTACATTTAATGTCTACAGAAGTCTGTCTTATCCTGATGGTTTCAAACTAACATTTATTTATCGTGATAGTAGTTTCTTTTTTCTTTTGATAAATGTAAATGCTTATTGTCAATTACCCTGTGACGTGTGCTGATGACCACTTGACCATGTCACCCTTGTGAAAGAGATCTCGATCTCAACGGGCTCTACCTGGTAAAATAAAGGTGATTGATTGATTGATTGATTGATTGATTGATTGATTGAATTCTCCACCGGTGGTTGTGCGTGGTGCACACCAGGGGTGATGTGCAGTGGATTCTCCGGTGGTGCGCACCCATGTTTTTATTTTATTTAGTGGATTAAATAAAATAAAAGCTATCCACCAGTGGTGGTGCACACCGGCGGTGTGTACAGCAACTAACACACACAGGTGTGATTTGCTGGTGGAGCTCACTCCTGTGTTTATTTTATGTAGTGAATTAAATAAAATTAAACTAAAAACAGTGAGGCGGGTGGCAGTGGATTCCATCGTGAATTAAATAAATTTGAACTAAAAACAGTGGTGCAGGTGGCGGTGGATTCCACCATAGGTGTCACAACCATTATATGTGAAGGGGACATGTCCCCCCCACTTTCAAAATACGTTCATTTGGAACCCCCCCCCCCCCACACACACACACACACACACACTTTTACTGTGAAACATTAGTTCAGTCGGTGCAGTTTCTTTCTTCGTGAACAAATCCATTCCACTTGATTAATAGGAGAATACTCAAGCCACTAAAACTCCACTCCAGGTTTTCCTGGTTACTTCCAACTCTCCACACAGCAGCCTGCTGCCTGCACTGTTTCTGTGTGTCTCCTCCTGCCTCGGCAGAAAACGCGCACAGGTGGAGGAGATGGAGACACCTCTGTGTTGCTCGCTCGCCAGTTTAGCGAGATTTTGTGTGGGCAGTTGATGACCAGGGAGGGTTGATCATAAACATATATACATGTTAGGAGGATGCTTGAGAGGAGCGCTACGTAGCATCTTAGCTTAGCAGTAACTGTGACGCTGTAAGACGCTGCAGGTGTAAGAGATGCTGTGTGTTAAGGTGCATTAAAATTGAAATGTCTTTAAAACCCCACACCTTATTGTCCTCATCCAAACATCATTTAAATGAGTAGTGTTGAACACAAGTAAAAAAGTCTAGTGGTGATGCTTTTTATTTCTCTACAAACACAAATAGTACCAACCTGACACTCTGTATTAAAGTGTATTGAAGTTAAAATGGCTTTAAAACCCACAGCTGAATTTACACAAACTTGGTGAGAAACATGCTTTAAACGTGTGGAATTAAAGGAAATCTAGGTGAAATGCTGCTTTTTTGTACACTAGTGTACAATTTTTTTACACGCACACACACGCGCACACACATCATTGTGTCCCCCCCACATTACGGATGCTTCTGACGCCCTTGGATTCCACCGTGAATTAAATGAAATGAAGCTAAAAAAAACAGCCGAGCGGGCGGCGGTGGATTACACTGTGAATTAAATAAAATTTAATTAAAAACAGCCGTGCTGGAGGCAGTAGATTACACCGTGAATTAAAAGGTCAGAACTTCTGACCTCTTGCT